GACACCGAGGGTTGCGATCCCGTTGCCGGTCCCGGTCCGGTACAGGCGCAACACTAAGGGTTGCGATCCGTTGCCGGACACGAAAAAAGACAAAAAGGAAAAAAAAAAAAAAACCTTTCACTCTTCTTCCCTCTTAATCCTCCCAGCTCAGAAAACCTTCCTCTCAGTCCTACCTACCTATATGGACCAAAATAGTTCACCTCTGGGACCTCTCTCTATGCAATAAATGCTATAATGCTCAGGACCTGCATCATTCAACTTGGCACTTAGCAGAGCTACCTTGTTTTGTTTTCAGTTATTTAGAATATTTATCTCTAAAACTAAACTGTAAACTACTTACTAGATGTCCCTAGGCCCCAGCCAATCCTGAAAGAAAAACCTATTTTCAATATCTTAAGAAGTCTAAAAGAAATTATATATTCATCTATAATTAGGCTGTTCAAGTTATCTATAATAGCAAGATTCTCTGTTTTTGTCTGAAATATTATGATACTGAAGTAATCCCATTTACTTCATGCGAACCAAAAGCTTTGGTTGGTAGTTATATGTGACTGATTCATAAAAATGGTAAAATAAATTATTACTGAAGAAGGCTTATTTGGAAAACTAAATCTTTGAGATTCACAGAGGTGAATAAAAATAAGTACACTTTTTCACCACATTGCCCAAACAAGTGATATACCCATAGTAAATGCTTAAAAATATATTAATTATCTATGATTATTTTCAACTTTCCTTCAGCACTCTCTCTGCCTTGCTATAACTAAAATACTGCTCTTCTTTTTCATGCAAATAAGATAGTGCATATCCTCCTTGTAATTTCAAAGAGATTCTCAAGAATAAGATGAACAAGAATCACACAGCCCTTCTTGGAGATGAACTAGAAAGATCTTCAGTGTTCCAGAAATAAACCCTTGAATCAAGTAAAGTCTCTATGTTTAGGGAGCACTACTTACTACTGAGAACTTCAGAGAGTAAATTTTCCTTAACTGCAACCTGACCTAGATGGCACAAGTAGAGGCAGAACCAAGTCTACAGAATAACTACCAAGTAAGAGTGAGAACTGATTTGCAATCTATCAATGGCCCCTTGTGTTTTGAAAATGTCATTGGCACATTTCAGGGAGGCCCCAGAGCTCTGAAATCTGTCCCAAACAATCTATAAATCACTACTCACAGCAAACCTTTATAATGTTCTGGAGATTTGAGAAGCATTAAACAGGCAGACTACACAAGAGTCACACTTCATTTTATAGAGTGGTTGTACCAGAGGCTATTGGTTATAGACTCCTGGAATTTTTCTCTTTCTCTCCTTAAAGTGTGAGGTGACTATTAAGAGTAGATCTATGGGGGACTTCTAAATCCAGCCAAGATGGAATAACAAGGATGAGATTTACCCTCCCACCTGAACCAACCAAAAGAAAAAAGGAAAAAGATGAAGACAAAATATATAAAATAACAGTTTTAAAGATATCAAGCAATGAAGGAAAGTGATCCCTCAAAGATGGAAAACAAAGTTTAAACCTTATTAGACATGACGCAGGAAAAGGGAATGCAAGAAAGCCCATCAAACTCCTTGATTTGAGGAGATGGAGCTGTGAATCCAGGAAAAACAAAATGACTAGAACTTTCAAGACAGAGTACAAAAGATAGTTAACTGCACAAAGAACCCCAGAGATTTGCAGAGGGTCCTCCACAAGAATTCAACAGTGTTAAGCAATGCATGCATGTGAGGAAACTATAAAAGGTCCAGGAAAGAACAAACCATCTGATAAGAATGCAATTGTGTCCCCCAAGTTTTATGTATTAGAAGCTTGATCCCCACTGTGACTGTTGGAAGGGTGGGAAATCCTATTATGGTAATTGAAAGGTGGGGCCTAGAAGAGATGATTAGATTCTGAGGACCATGCCCTACTGAATGGATTAATAATGGTGGCCGCGGGCATGTTTCTGAGAGCTTTAAAAGGAGAGCACATGAGAGTCTCTCTCTCTCTCTGCTCTGCCATTTTCTGCCATGTGAAACCCCTGTGTTGCTGCTGTAAGTCACCACCAAAGAAGACCCTCACCAGATGAGGACTTTGGACTTCCCATCCTCTGAAACTGTAAGCAATAAATTGTTTTCTAACAAATCACCCAGTTCCAGGTATTTTGTTATAACCAACAGAAACAGGGTAACACACCATCTGAAAGCATTAGAGGGAACACTGCTGGGCGCTTATGAAGGTCTAGGAATAGTGG